CTTTGCAAAAGAAAACAAGAGACTTTTATAGTCAGTATTGTCCAGGCACTAAGAGACCGACATCAGACATTTCGCATGGGGATGAATTCAGGAAATACGGTCCCACGAATATTTCTTAAAGAAACAAACTTCAGCCAGTCAATACAAGGAAGGAGAAGCTATGGCTAAAGTGATGGCCGTGAGCAATGAATCCATGTGAACCTGGAACTGAGATGGAATTCCTGTGGCAATGGCCGTCACAGGTCAGCCTGCAGACTCGTCAACTGGGCCAATGTGCAAGGGGCTACGACCCGTCCAGGTAGGAAGGTCATTGTGAAACAGGGTGAGGAGTCAGGGGGACAAATCGATAAATGTAGTTTAAAATAAATGATTCATTTACAGTCTAAATAAGACTCTGTGTATATTATTTTACCATATAAAAACACCCACTAGAAGCCTAAGAATATACATCCTTCAGAGAAAATAAATGGAAAGGTAATAACAGAAAAAGAATCATATGATAAAGCACAGAGTACTGAAAAGCTGAGTTTGTAACAAAGTGACACAGTAAAGTTGGAAATAAAAGAATAAGCACAGACTTACATGGTAAACATAAACCAAAAGAAAGCAGGATCATGGCAGTGGTTTAGGCAGCACTGAACACAAGTCAAAAAGCACCAAATGTGGCGGGGGGGGGGGGGGGGGGGGGGGGGGGGGGGGGGGGGGGGGAGTTAGAACAATGACTGCAATCCACAATAAAGAGCTGACAGCCAGGTATATTTATGCACCAAATAATAAAATGTTCTTAAAACAAAAGCAAGAAATACAAAAAGAAACACACAGAAATGTAAATCAATGTGGGAGACTAATTCCTCTCTCTCTGTGATAGCAAATTAAGGGGAAGAAAAAAATAGTGATGAGCCAACCGACCTAACTAATAAGATAGAATGTTCATTTAAATCAGACTCCATATGCTTTTCAAGGGCACATAAGACATTTTCAAAACTGACTATGTATTAGGCCGCAAAAAACTAAGTTCCTGAAAGTAAAAATAATATAGAAGATATTTTCTCCTATAACAAACATGGAAATTAATCACAAAATTAGAAAAATCAAATAGCCTGCTATATGTAAATTTAAAATTTTTCTCTAATACAATTTTTTCATCAAAGAGAAAACTGTAAAGTGAAATTGCCAAGCATCTAAGTAATAGCAACGGTTCAAATACCACATATCAGACACAATAGGGTACAGCTTAAGCAAAGATACATTTACATACGTAAATACTTATAGATCTAAATAATTAAGAATTGAAATAGGTTCATAAGGCATTCAAATAAAGAAGTTGGGGGAAAAACACAAAATAAACAAAGGAAACAATGAGAATGAAAACAGAAAATAAAATAGAATTAAGAAATAAGTAGAAGAGGTTAGTATTTGGAAGAAAAAATAAAGTTCATAATCTATTAGCTAGACTAATAAAGAAATCTGAGAGAAGGCACAAATACATAAACAACAAATAAAATCAGAAGCAGGGTTTAGCCCAAGATCTTGCACATAAAAGTGCTCAGGAAGCATTTGCTGAATGGCTAAAGAAATTAATTGGGAGCAGTCCCTGCGGCCAAGTGATTGAGTTTGCGCACTCCGCTTCGGGGGCCCAGGGTTTCACTGGTCGGGATCCTGGGCACGGCCCTGGCACCGCTCATCGGGCCATGCTGAGGCCGCGTCCCACATGGCACAGCCAGAAGGAAGTACAAGTAGAATGTACAGCTATGTACTGGGGGACTTTGAGGAGAAGAAGAAAAAAAAAGAAGATTGGCAACAGATGTTAGCTTAGGTGCCAATCTTTAAGGGAAAAAAAGAAAGAAGTTAATTAATTAAGCTACTTCAGATAAAAAAAGTTTTTGATTGTCATATTTCATTCAGTTCTAAGATGCGCATTTTAACATCTTTGAAGTTGAGCCATCTTGCTGTTGACAGTATCTCACAGAGGCTGTGAGTGAATTTGATTATTTCACTGGGTGACTATAGCCCATCCACATTTCCCTCAACAACAATCATTTACAACCATTTCGGAAGAAATGTAAGTTCTGTTCTTTGGCTGAGCACCTTCCATTGTCGACTTCTAGTAAACCAAAGAGTGCCATCGTCAAACATGCAGAATGGCTATTAGATGAACTTAGGAAAAATCCAGAGGCAATCGAAGAGTTTTGTTTTAGAAAATGCTGTATCACCATCTCTCAGTTGGCAGAGAAACAGTCTCGTGTGGAAAAACATGACAGCAATGGTTTTTCCTCAAAAAATACATCAGAAGTCAGACACTGGTGTCCAGTTTCATGAATGTCTCCAGATCCTAAATCCTTTGTGGTCTCCAGTTTGTTTGATCTCTGTTGTAAAGTTCCCAAGGGGGCAGTGGTAGCGTGCCTCCCAGGACAAGAACCCAGACTGGCTCTTCCATCCTTCTCCTCCCATTCGACAGCCCAGCTCTGAGACTGGGCCCCGGGCCCGGCACTTGGTATCCTCCTACTGGATCCCGGAAACTGACCACCAGACCTTGGAATTTCCAAGTCTCAGCCAGTCCCTGTGTCTCCATGGCTGAGTCCCACTCTGCTGGTGGAATGGTCTAATATGACTTTGATGTCCATATGTCACACTGTTTTCCAGAATTATCGCTGGGGATGACAGTATCCTTTGAGTACCAGCCTTAGCCAGACCTCCTCCGTGATCTGGACTCCTCGATATCACACAAGACTAAATTCACTGGAAGACCTTTGGCAAGACATGAGTTTTGGCTCCAGCAAAACAAAACAGTAGGAAGGAGCTCACACTTGGCAAGAGACCCACACATCAGGAGGCTGAGAAGAAGGCCCAGAAAAAGTATTAAAATAATTTGAGTTTCCTGGGCTTATACACAGATAATTAGGATTCATGTTTTTGAGCATTTTAAATAGTAATTAAGGCATTATGGTTTAAATATACGTTTTTATTCATTTTGTGAAGTTGTAACTGAAATAGTAGGCTGGAAGAGCTGTAATTTTGATGGCAAACATTCAAACAAACAGATGAATAAAATTGAGCACTGTGGTAGCAATGTAACCAGCATTTAATCACAAACCCCATTCTGGGAGGAGACCCAAATCTTAGCAATAAACTAGGATTTGTTGACAAACTCTCTGTGAAGGACAAATGAGTGTGTATTCATAAAGCCATGGTAACTATTCTTTGATTAATATAGGAATCATTAAAAACAGTATCTATGTGACTTAATTACTTTTTTCTATGTAGGGATTGCTAATCTGATTCCCATATTTTTGGTGGGAAAATTTTGATAGGACATTTTTGCATGACTTTTAGAATTGTCCGTTACAATTTAAAATGGCCACACCCTTTGGCTCAATAATTCTACCTCTAGAAATATATCCAGCAGGAAATACTTAGAGAAGTATATAAAGATGCAAGTTCACTGACATTCACTGCAGCATTTCTCGCAAAACTAAAATAACCCAACTGGTCCTCAAAAAGGTTGAACAAATATCGTACACTCATTTCATGGAATAGTAGATGGTCAATAAAAAAGAATTAGGGGGCCAGCCCCATGGCCAAGTGGTTAAGTTCTCACACTCCCCTTCAGCAGCCCAGAGTTTCGCTGGTTCGGATCCTGGACGCGGACACGGCACCGCTTGTCAGGCCACATTGAGGTGGTGTCCCACATGCCACAACTAGAAGGACTCACAACCAAAATACACAACCATGTACTGGGCGGCTTTGAGGAGAAAAAGTAGGAAAAGAAAAAAAAGAAAATTGGCAACAGTTGTTAGTTCAGGTGCCAATTTTTAAGAATAAATAAATAAATAAATAAGAACTAGTAGCTCCTTGTGTACTTATAAAAAAAGTCCAAAATGTACTTCAAAGAAAAAAAAAAGGCTAATTACACAACAGTAGGTACTAAAAATACATATTCCTATATAGATATTTAAATATAGATGTACTAAAATTGGTTCTTTCTGTGGAGCAATATAATAATTTTGCTTTCTGTGTTTTATAATGTTGTAGTTATTTTTACATTTAGATTATCACTATAATAAAAAAATAAAGATTCATAAATATCTTGCTTAATGCTGCCAGTTCAAGAACAATTCAGAAAATATGACTCCTCTATTCAAACCCTCTGTTATGCATTGAATTTCGTCTTTCAAAGATTCCTGTGTTGAAGTCTTAGCCCCCAATACCTCAGAACGTGGACTTTTTTGGAAATAGGGTCACTGCAGATGTAATAAGTTCAGTTAAGATGAGGACATTGTGGTGATCTCTAATCCCATATGACAGGTGTCCTTATAAAAAAGGAGAAATTTGGAAAGAGACAAACTCACACAGGGAGGACGCCACGTGAGGGTGAAGACAGAGACCAGCGTGATGCTTCTGCAAGGCGTGGAACGCCCAAGATGGCTAGCAAACCGCCACGGGCCTTGTGGGAAGTATGGAACAGATTCCCTCTCACAGCCCTCAGAAGGAATTTTGCCTCCAGACATAGAAATTCTGTGTGAATTTCCACACTTTGGACTCAAGACTACAACATCCCTGAATCTCCAGCCTGCCATCTTGTCCCCCAGATTGGGAATTTGCCAGCTCCCACCATCGAATGACCCAATTCCTTAAAATAAATCCTTTTCTTCCTCTCTCTCCCTCCCTCTCTCACTCCCTCTCTCTCTCTCTGAATGTATATATATACATATATATGTGTATATGTACACCTATCCTATTGATTCTGTTTCTCTGGTAAACCCTAATGCACCCTCTCCCGTCCTCCCCCATTTCTGCTGAGTGGATTCAAACTCCATAGTCTGCCACTGAAGACCTCTCTCACCTGGCCAGGACCATCCTTTCCCCAGGCATTCATTGGCCTGTACAATCTAGCCAGGTGGAACTATCCCATGCTTTCCTATTTCCATATTTTTGCTTATACATTATCTCCACTCAGTACACACAAACACTATAGTGTGTGCGATTAGCAAGACAAACTGTGAAACATAATCATGGTCTTGTTTTTATGCTTGTAATAACCATAATATTGATTTTATGGAATTTTATCCTTTTGTTAGAAAGTTGGGGGCTGGCCGCGGGCCGAGTGGTTAAGTTCGCGCGCTCTGCTGAGGAAGAGTCACCCTAAGCTAACATGGTCCTCTTCTTTTCGTAGAGCTGCCACCATGACATGGCGGGTCACCCAAGTGGAGCACGCCGAACTCAACCGCTAGGCCACGGGGATGGCCCTCTGATATCTCTTCGTTGCGGGTGAGGGTACTCCTCTTCATCGGAACATGTTTGGCAGCATCTCTGGCCTCTTCCCACTAGAGTCCGGCCTTTCCCCAGACATCCCCCCTTTCCCCACCTCACCAATGGCGACAGCCAGAAATGTCTGCAGAAACTGCCCAGTTCCCCCAGTGTGGAAAATCACCGTGGCTGACAACGGCTGCCCCGTACTTTCTCTATTTTCCCCCCTCACTTTATCCCCAGGTGAAGGATGAGAAAAATGGTATCAGAAAAATGGAGGAGATTTTAGAAAAAGAATACTGGGTTAATTATACTGTTCTTCGGTTGAAGAATTATTCAGCATAGCTATTACGTTAATATTTCCACAAAACCTGCTATGTCTTAGAGGAGGGAAACAATTAGAAAAGATAAATGTGTTCTTGTCCTAGGACTTCATTGGTTATATGTTAAAGAAAAAACCTCTCTCAGGAGCTTCCTCTGGAAACCCGATGATTCATCCCTTCTCCGTTGAGGACAGACTCCATAATCGAATGAAGAAAAGGCAGTTCTTCGAAATGCACAAGAGTACGTTGCAAGGAAGCACAATCCAGCGACGTGAAATACGATCACCTGTCCCGACGCTTGCGTGCTGCTGGCTGCTGGGTCCAGCAGATTTAGCTGTCGCGCTTGGAGTGACTGAGGAGTGAGGTCAACTCTTGATTTTCCACGCCAATGGAGACGAATATATCTGACCTAGAAGGTCATCGGTCTCCACCCGTAAACTCGAGCGTGTGACAGATATTTTTTACCTGACTCAGCCTAGTTTCTATATCAAACCTGATGCTGCAGCAGTGGCAGAGGTCGTGAAAATTCTCTTCAGTGAGTCTGGGACTCTCCTCTTACCACGCTGGCTGGGAATTGTGCCACTTTGCTGGGTTTCCGCCAAGGAAGGGGCCCTGGGGCTGGCCTGTAACATGGAGGGAGAGCGAGAGGAGCACAGTGGAGTGCAGCCTGTCTCCCATCCCAGGACCCTCACACCACATGCCCCTGGGACCCACCCAGCCCTCCATGGCAGTGTGGCCCACACTTCACATGGTGGAGGCCAGGACAGGGACCAGAAGCTTCTTGGGCCCAGCCAGCAAGGAATCTGGGTGGCAGAGGATGGGCATCTCCCCTTGGCCCTGCAGAATCGCAGGCAGAGGCCCCAGCGAGGCCTCTGGGGCACAGAGGTCTGAGGAGAGCCTGGGACCCCTCTCTCTGAAGCCCGCCCATTTGTATTGTCAGCACCTCCTCTCTGATGCCTTCCTCTCTTCCTTCCCACATACGCTCGGGAGAACTCTCTCTCCAGAAGGGCAAAGCAACCCTCGCCCCGTGATATTTATCCCAAGAGATTGGTCTCTTGGGAGACTCTCCATTGCCTTAAATGTGTGATCTTTCTGTCAGGAAGCTTCCTGGAGTTGGGGGGTTTTTGGTCTCATTTTTATGTTTTCCATCACGTCACATCCTTTCCCTGAGATTCTGAGCAGAAAGCAACTCAGCAGTTTAAATGGCACGAAGTGGAATTAATCAATAAAAGGGGAAAACAGATTTATATTTCTAAAAATATTATAATCAAAAATTACATGTATTTGTATTCTTATTTGATAATGAGTCTGTGTTTGATAAAGTCTGATGGTCTGAAAACTCAATCCAAACAGAATAATGGCACTTATTATGAGGTTTCTCCCTCCTGAACTCCTTCAGGCATTTCATTTGAATTAAAAGATGCAGTAGTGTTGATATGGTGTGCACGGAAATTGAGAAAAGTCTGTAAGAGAGAAACCACACATTACACAGGTGATCGAAGAGGATACAAATCCCAAGTCCTGAGGTCCCCAGTATTTATTTATTCCTAGGGAAGACACAGACCTGCTCTGTGAAGTGAAAGTGCAGGACACTAACTGCATCTCCTGAGCTTCCAGATTTTGCCCAGAACAGGACAAATTCAGCTCACAGAGGGCTCCATTAGGCAGACTCCTGCGGCCGCTGTTTCCACTGGAAGGCAAGGATCTTGGGAACTAATTAATCCTGTTACCTCCACATCTGGAGTAGGATTTCTTCCAAGAGACTCTGTCAGTTAAGTTTCTTTGGCTGCAAGCAAGAAAACCAAGTCTAGCTAATTTAAGATTAAAAAGAACGTATTGACATGCATAGCTGAAAATTCCAGAGCTAGGATGGCTTCAGACAAACTTGATAAGGTCGTCCTCCTTAGGGCTGCCTGCTGGTTCCTGACATCCTCAGGTTCTCAACAAGGGGCTGTCGGCTTCCTCAACAGCTCACACAAAGGCGCCATCCTGGGTCATGAGCTGCCCTGCTCACCCATGGCGTGGGAATAGGACCCTCCTCTGATAGACTAGGGTGGAGGTCAGCAACTTCTTCTATAAAGGGCCAGAGAGAAAATAGCTTTTACTTTGCAGGCCACATGGTCTGTCTCAACTGCTCAGTGTTATTGGAGCACAAAAGCAGCCACATATAAATGAGTGAGCATGGCTGTGTTGCCATAAGATTTCATTTATGGTCTGAAATTAGAATTTTATATAATTTTCACACAGCCTGAGATATTATTCTTCTTTTGATTTTTTTTGCAACATTTAATGATGTAAAAACCATTGTTGACTCTCAGACGATAAAACAGGTGGCATGCAGGATTTAGCCCATTGGCGGAAGTTGGCTCACCTCTGCTCCAGGGGACCCACTTCTCTTGAAGCAGTGGACTGAACGTGAGGATGAAGTGGGTAGTGAGTGCCGAGCAGGAACACAGCCATGTTCACCCAGCACCCTGGTGCTTTGCAAGTTTAGCCCCGAGGCCTTGAAGGGTGGTGCCCGGTGACCTCAAAGAACTCCTGGAGTTGGAGGTGGAACGAATGGGCCATCTCCAGCTGCTCCTTGCTTGTCCTAGTCACCCACTTCCCCTCCCTCCCACTGCCTGGCTACCACTAACCACCAGGGTTGTCCAGGAGGCAGAGCCCATAGAAACAGCATCAACAAAACGAGCAAGCCACCAGGCAGGAGAGCTATGCACCTGCGCAATGTGCACCACTAGGTCAGTGCTGGCCTCCCAGTGTTACTGACACTGAGAAATCGCGTGATTTGGGACGATCCACGTATTCTTTCATTTTCTCGACAAAGAGCTAGTTACTGATCACCACATTGTTCTAGGCTCTGGGGAAAAGAACGAAAAGCAGGGAACAAAAGAGAAAAAAATCCTGCTCTCATGAAGGCTTATTAACTAATTAATTAATTAAAAGTAAATGGAGAAAACAGAAAAATAAAGCAGGGAAAGGAGTTAGAGGATGTTTCATGGTGGTCAAGGAAAGCCTTACTACAAAGATGACATCTGAGCAAAGATTGGAAGCAGAAGAGGTAGTAAGCTCCCCCAAACATCTGGGGAAGAATATTTTAAGCCAAGAGACTAGAAGTGCAAAGGCCCTGGGGCAGGAGTGTGAGTAGCATTTAAGGAGGTGAGGATCACTGGAGCAGAGTGAGGGAGGGGTGAGTAAGAGGAGATGAGGGCCCAGATGCAGTATGGAGGGGTGCCAATCACTAAGGGCCCTGGACGCTGTGGTACCAGCTTTCATTTTTACTCTAAGTAGAGGAGCCAAAGAAGGGTTTTGAGGAGAGAAGACATGATTTGACTCACTCCCTTAAGTGATCATTTTGACTGTTGTGTTGAGAACAGAGTTGGTGGCAGGAAGACCAGCAAGGAGGGTGTTGTAATAACCTGGCACAGAACACTGCACTGGTCAAACTAAAAATCCATCTTCACAACAGCAAGCCTCCCAGTGCAGTCTGTAACAGACTAAGACATCACACAGCTCTGAAGAACAAGGGCAAGGATGGTTGTGCGGACACCCACGGCCCAAGCCGGCTCCTGTGTGCACAGACCTCACCACGGGAGCCCCAACTGACACCCCAGCTCTGCACACAAGGACGTGAGAGAACAGTGTCGTCTGCGACCCGCTATTACCCTCAGCCTCTGCAAACCCACTGCCCCTTTCACCCTAGAATACGTGCCCCCTACTCTTGGGCTCAAATGTCTACTGCCAGCAGTGTGTACATTCACCCAAGGTCCCCACTCAGCTGCCTCTCTTCCTGCTGGGACCCAGCAAGCTTAACCAACAGGTCTCGTCTTTGTGCCAAGAGGCAGCTGAGATGTCCCCAGCATCCTCTCATTAGAGATGAATGTCCACTTTCTCAGCCAGCCAGCACACACCTTCTTTGAGCTTACAGGCTCTCCACAGATACACAGACACGGACTTTGGGCTGTTTTCTCTGACCTTGCAGGAGGCTTTCTTGTGAAAAGAAGGACAAGGACAGCATCAGGGCCTCTACCTGTATTTCAAAGTCATGACATGACCTATGACCATCCGTTGGGCAGCACCACCTTGGGGCACCCTGAGAAGCGCATACCTGAGGGCCCGAAGGTGACAGGCTTTACATCCGACACCCCCATACGATGCTGGAAGAGAGATGGGTTATCCTGGAGTAAGGGGTCCAAGACGATCACATCATAGATGTCAGAGGCCACGGACATCACTGGCGTTTGGTGAAACCAGAGGCAATGGCAGAAATTCATCCCCCATTTCCCCACAATTTCTACCCCGATAACTGCCTTCACCTAAAAGGGCGAGGATGTGAAGGATGCCTGGTGGCATCTGCGACCTTCCGGATGCTGAAGTTCATGTTCCCTGCCAACCAGCTGCTCACCTGCCATACTTCACCCTGCCCCCAAGCTCGTGTTTTTAAAATAAGATGCATGGTGGCATCATGCGGGGTGGGGGTGGGGGGGTGGAAAATACCAGCACCCGTGCTTTCCCCCCCCCCGTGGTTAATGTGCAATTCCTGTGAGTGGGGTTCAGGCATCCCTTGGGGTGATTGTCACATGCAGACAGGATTAAGAACCTCACCCCCAGCTATCAAAACCAACACGTCCATTCCTCAAGTGGGGGCCAAACTCACTCAGGAAAATCCAAGGACAGAGCAACCTTTGTCCCCAAACCTAATTCAACAGAATATGGGTCCCAGGCAAGGCCAGTTCCCACCGTGGGACAGGGAGCTGTTAGCTACCAGAGCCTCCTGGAGGGGTGGAGGGTCTTCCCTTTGCCTCTGCTCTGTAACACCACAGCTGAGGCAAAGCTGTAGTCCAGCTGTCCCAGTGCTCTCCCCTCCCAAAAAAAACTGGTTCCATTTCTCTCTCTGCCTCTGGACAAGCAGCCCTGTTGCCTCTGCACCTGCGTTCCCTCATCTTGGAATGCTCCTCTCTCTGCCCGCTCTTCATTCCAGTCCCTTCTCCACCTCAAGGCAGTAAACCTCCCCTGATGACCCGTCTGCTCTCCAGCAGTCCCTGCTTCTTGTAATCATGGCACTCGGCACACTATGTGATACTGTTTTTCAAGTCCAAGACACCACCAATTACGAGATACACTGTTACTTTATGGAACATTAAGGCACCGAGAGCTGTCAATAAAGTTATAACAATGCTCTCTTATAACTTACAATTTCCATTCCACACATAGTGAAAGAATGCTTTCAGTGAAGTTTTGAGATATATCAAAGGCTTTGTTAGCATTTCTTATTCAATCGACCAATAGTCTCAGTTTCTCTTCAGCCGACTCACATCATAGAAAGTTAAGCAGCCGCTGTTCCAACTCAGCAGGAAGTTCCTGACATTGGTGTTTGACACCTGAATGATGATCCTGCGAGATGAATGAGTTGGTCACATCAACTCCTTGTTGTTCTGAAACTTCTTACATCCCTGCAAAGGGATCAGGCGATTTCTCCTGCCTTTAGTTGAATTGCTTGGCATGTGATACCAGTATTTCTCAGACTTTAATGTGTATATGAGTCACCTGGGGATCTTGCTCAAATGCAGATTCTGATTTCATACGTCTGGGCTGGGGCCCGAGGTTCTGCACTTCTGACAAGTTCCCTGGTGTTGCGGATGTTGGGGGTCCAGAGACCCGGCATGGTACAGCAATCCTTTGCATGTATGTCAGTCACAATGCCTTACACAACTTGTTCAACTGGTAAGTATTTTCCTTTCTTAGGACCCATAAAGCAGTTTATTAATTTGCAAGAAAATAAGAAATGGGAGTCATCTCTCCAATGATAAATATTTACCTCACTGATACCAAATAGAGACCCCAGTGCATTGTCTAGCCTTTCTGCATACACAATAACTTTTCACTCTAATGCTGAGTTACAGCATAATTTTTAAAGGTATTTTAAACAGCAATCAGCTCAACTCATGCAGTATCAGCAATGTGTCAGTGAAGAGAAGACAATATGAACAGCTGTGACCAAGTCTGCACCCACACAAACCAAGGCTCCTCAAGACTGCCGCCAGCCAACAGCATTGGTAAGACACCATCAGGCGGAATGTGCAACCTGATTTCGGAGATGTAAAACTGTTACTGAGCCAGGCTCGTTGTGCCTACCCTATGATACGCCAGTCACGGAGATGACAAGTTTGCAGCAGGGCAAGGCTTTATTCTCAAGGCAGCCAAGCAAGGAGACAGGAGAACAAGTCTCAAATCCACCTCCCCAAAAATGGGGATTAGGGGTCTTTATGGGATGAAGAGGCAGGGTGGTCTGAAGTATGGGACTAGATGACTGGAGGTAAGGAGAAGTGAGGTAATTAATGATCTGTGCAAACGTATGGCTCTTCATAGGATGCATGTTCACAAAACGGTGGCATTGGCATGATCTGAGGGGGCAGTTTTCAGCCCCCTGACATCAAAGGGTCACCTGTGGGTCATCCACACAGGCCCAATTGATGAGTTGGTGGTCTTAACTGGCCTGAACTGGACAAGGAGTTGACTCTCAGTTCCTGAAAAACTCAAGCACCCATCACCACGGTGACCCAAGCGTCAGAGATGTCATCTGTAGGGTGGGCTTTAGTAACACATTATCCGACTAGTTTTGCAAAGAGACAACTAACTGAGTGTGGTTAAGGCAAGGTGGTCCCTGCTTTAAAAACTGTGAAAAAGAAATGCATGCGTCCGTACGGATGCAATACTATAGTGGTCTGTATTCTTGCCTCTTCCCAGCTGTCCTGTGAGCTACTTGAGAGCAAGGACTAGAAAAACCTTTGTCCCGAGCACAGAGCTCAGGGGCAGGCAGGAGGGACGTGCATGACTGCTGATGCAGTCCTGATGCTCTCCTGACAATGTCGGCTCGGCCGGGCTACGAGCCGGTGACTCATGCTTGTTTGTAACACACATACCTGAAATGTTCTCTGGCTGTGCCTGCCCAGGCTTGCTGTGAGCAAACTGGGACAACCAATGTGCCTTTGAGCTAACACTAGCCCAAGGTGGTGGAGTAGATGGTAGAGGTATTAAGTAAGGCTTATTGTGTGCTTCTTTGAGACGCTGGGACTGTAATTTGCCTTTTTATACATGATGACTGGTTCACTCCTTCACGCTCCCTCTCCTGGCCAGCCTGAGTTTCATTTCTCTTTTTTTTCTGGGTGATGGCCCAGGTCAGATAGAAATTCAGTACCCCCATATTATTATTCCCTGGGCCTTGTAGTTCATGAGCATCTCTGAGTCTCCCACCTCCAAAAGGAAATGAAGGAAGAATTATGTTTAGCATATAACAAAAGCATTTCATGAAACAGCATGTTCATGACAACACAGAAGTTGGAAATATAGATTAAATAAATATTGCTGAGGAAATCGTGCAAAATCTCAGTAACTGTAGAAAAATCAGATTTTCGTGATCTGGTTTTTTACTCACAAACCGTGAGCTATTCACATAAGAAGAGCCCTCGGCCTAAAGCAATCTCATTGGAATAAAAATGTGTGTTTTAGTCCAAAGTGTGAGAATTTAAATGTGAGTCATTATATTTTGGGGCTGGAAAGAACCTTAGGAATCATCTTGTCTAAGTTCCTTCGTGTTCGTAGGGTTGGGATTTTACAGGCCTTTCCATCCTCACACTTCTAATTTTCCTTAGAATTTTAAGACTTGATTCATACGAAAACATGAGCGTGTTCAAACACTCGATTCACAACTATAAAACTTTTCTTTGTATACATTTAAATCACAATATTGTAAGTTAAATATTCCCCATTTAGAGAAGGGAGGTGAAAAGATCATTAGGGAGGGTTCTGCCTGCACCCTCTGCTCCGATATAACAGAAAATGTTAAAATGTTACCACTCAAGGGTACTAAAAGTAACATGATTTCTTCTAAAATCTGGGGAGTGGAGAACTCAGAGAAAGATTCCATTTTTATACGAGGGTAACATGCTCGTAAGGGAGGGGGAAATATCCTCAAATTTTAAGGTAATGTTTTTTTGTGAAACATAATTTTAAATCTCTTTCTTTTATATTTACGTTTGCTGTAAAGAAAATAGAGGTTGTTCCTAAAAGAACCCTTTGTTTTAAATTAAGTTTTGTATAGGAATCTGACTGCTTGGGTCTAAAAATCCTCCCCAAGAAGCGGTTCGATCTGGCAGCAATTCTCCATCACTGAGAGCACTTTTATTCATCTTCCCCAAGCAGGTATGCTGAGTGCGGGCCTCCTTCAGATCTCTGTTCTATCATCCTGGTACCTGCAAGAACGTGGAAGGACCTTAAAAGTATGAATGTGTCTTTAAAAGGGTTTAATTCATGGCTAAAGGAGCTTAGTTATCGAGGTCAGAGTTGCCTGGCTGTGCTTCCCTTTGATCTCAAGTAAACCCATGAAATGGATGTCCATACAATGGATGGTAAACATGATGGATGGCTACAAGCTTCCCTAAGCTGCTTTGGCCCTGTCTAAACCCTGCTTCTCAGTTACTGACTTTCATGTTGAGCTGGAGCAGGCTGGCAGAAAGGCCTACTGAGTAGGCAGAAAACCAGGAAACAAAATCCTTTTCAATTTCATTGCAGGAAGGACAAAAAGTCAGAAACTCATACTTCAAAAAAACTGGAGCTTTGGTGACCTCTTGTGGGAGGATTTACTAGCAGTCCTAAATAAAACAGTTCCAGAATGGAATCTGAGACCAGTTTTCTTTGTAGATGCGGGGCCCTCATGGGCCTGCTGAGACCCAGTGGGCCTGTTACAACCTAGAAAAACCTATACATACATAAAATTATCAATTAAGTCTTAATAATTGTGTTAGAATATGTGTTCAAGAGAACTGATATATAAACACACATCAGGAGAGATGTAAATAAAGTATTAAGTACATTAAGACATCCTAGAATCTTCTATCCATAGGCTAGGAAGGAACCCTGGAACCACCCACAAATATTTGATTCTCCTCTGCAGGGAAGCCAATCACAAGGGAGTTTGGGAAGAAATTATGGACAAATCAAAGCTAAACTACTAGGCAAAGTGCTCCATAAATGAATTCATGGAAAAAAATAAAAAGAATCATCTTCATACTTATCATTAACATCATTAGGCCTATAGTGAGTAATGAAATAAATTGGGACATCTTCCGGCTAGATTCCCAATATATTTACAGTTGCTGAGAAGAACAAACTTACTCATCAACAAGCCGTCCATCGGTATCACACACAAGGACAGGCTTCTGGCAGAATGACCCAGGGTCCCAGGCAGCAGAGCAATCACTATGACATCCTTTTGTCTTTTGTGATTAGCAACACTTCGTACACACGCAAAATTTAAAGAATAAGTAAATTTGTCTTCTCTGCTAGTTAATATTTAACCTATTTGTTACCCTTATGAAGTAGCTAAGTCACAAAACAATTACCGTGAGTAAAGAAATTGGTTTTCAGAATTTCGGAATTCTGCTTTTCTTCTGAGTTTATTTTTCAGTTCATGCTGCTAAATTCTTTTCCTTGTTCTTCATAAAACTGAGATTTTTTTGTGATATCACCATGTGGCAGGCAAGGAAGACTTATTGTTGTTTTATAGGTCTGTTCTAGATATTCTGTATCATTTGTACAGATTTGTATGTTGAAATTTGGTGCCGAGGGAAAAGTACACAGAAATGCAATGGTAAATATTGACCAGTATGAATGAATGATTTTATATAAAAACATCTTAACTGGATTTACCTTAAGAGAAATTTGTCTAACTTGGTCAGTTTGGGGAAAACTTTCAGTGAAAAATACGCATCTTGATTGTTTGGTAAGAGTTTTTAAATAAGAGAATTTGTACCCACATAAAGAGTGGATGGGAGAAGAAGTAAGCTTGATAAAAACAACAGAAAATAATGAGTAGGAAAAAAACTCCCTATTAAAATGAACATGCATATTGCATCCCTTTTCATGATTTTTGGTCCTTTTACTACTCTTCATCGTTTCTATTAAATTACCTGGTTGAAAGAGACCATTGTCAGAAGCAAAAACAGGTTTCTGTGGTTCGCTGAAATCAGAGATGGACGATGCGGGTTAGGTCATGTGGTCCAACGCCTGCTAGAGTAAGCCAGCATTCCTTCCACATTAAGGGTGTGACAGTGGTGTCTGATGATTCTGCACACCTCCAGAGTGACAGCTGAGATAAAATCATTGTCCCTTACTCACAGAAATACTAGAATCTAACCAAAAACACGTAGTGCTGTGTACCTTGCTATTGAATGAGAAGTAAAATAATTAAAAGTGATTTGAAGTAAAGCCTCCAGCACCTGGATCTAGGGCCATGATGGTTTAAGCATGGTCACTTGGACTTTTACGACTGGCACTTCATCAGAATGTCTCCATTTTCCATATACTCTGGAATATCGTTTTTCAGAATTTCCTCTCCAGAGTATCCTTAAGGATCAGATTTGTCTGTAAATTTTTTATTGCAAGATCTAAAATATACCTACAGTTCAAATAACTAACTCATTCCTCTTTGGGTATTTTCTTCTTAAAATCCAGTCATGTGAGGGGCTGGCCCCGTGGCCGAGTGGTTAAGTTCGCGTGCTCCGCTGCAGGCGGCCCAGTGTTTCGTTGGTTCGAATCCTGGGTGCGGACATGGCACTGCTCATCAGACCACGCTGAGGCAGCGTCCCACATGCCACAACCAGAAGAACCCACAACGAAGAATACACAACTATGTACCGGGGGGCTTTGGGGAGAAAAAGGAAAAAAAAATAAAAAAAAAAAAAAATCCAGTCATGTGATAGAAATAAATAAAGGCTGTTGAATACACATTGTAAGACTGAGAACCAGATTATCTGACATAGCTTTTCAAATGTTGAGTTTTCCTTTGCTCATACTTGATTCTAAAGCAGATGATTTGTTTAAGACATTGTGCCTTGATTACAAACCATTAGAAATTACCCATAAAATAATATTTTCTATTTTAAATAAGTTATTTCAACCTTGGAAGTCAGTGTCTGTTAATAATTCATGGGTAGGCTTTAGAAATAAGATGTAAGAAGAATAATTTGAGAATTTAGTATGCTTTTCCTTTACTTGGAGCATTTATCTTGATTTACATAACTAATATCTTTAATATCCTAATATTGATACTCATAAAACATTGAAAATAATTTAAATTTTTAATGATATACACTTCCAAAATTAAAAAATAATCAGTAGATTCCACTATCCTAACAACATTATCTTCATATTTGCATATTACCTTTTAGTTCTTATCCAGAGACTGTCCTACTTTTACATAGTTGCAATTCTAGAGTATATACATACCACCTCAAACACTTTATTTCTATTTCCATGTTTTCTTCGGTCTTCATAAGTCTCACTGTAGAGAGGAGTAATATTTTGTCATGTTGATGTAACATCATTTATTAATCATCTTCTTTATGGTTACACAAGTTGTTTGTAATTTATTTGCTATTGAATATGATGCTGCAATGAGCATCTTCATATGAAAGTTTTTGAAGGGCTTTATTATTATCGATAGTTGTGCTCTCTTGCTTTCGAAATAGTTTAGGAGCTGTTGGTCATAGCAAAAAGAGGCAATGACACACTGCAAAGGGTTTTACTCAAGAGAATTTAGTGAAAGGACTATTGCCCAGTGTGTGCGCAGGACGACCGTGCCAACAAGGGGTGGTGAAGTACACAAAGGCTAGCAAAAGTGAGCCACCATCACCAACCCGTTAAACCTGAGTGGAAAGATACTAGTCCAAAAGCCTGGCGAGGGGTGGAACTGTGGACCAGGAGACGCCCAGAGATGACCTGTGGATGTGGAGGAACACAGCCATTACCAGGACTGTGGTGAGGCTGGCCGCGGGATAAAGCGATAAAGGGTGGGGTAAACACTCTTACCTCTCTCGTCTTCCACCTTCATGTCTCCTGCTTTGCCACCAAGTGGCTGAACCCGGCAGGAAGCAGGGGAGGGAGACGGGTGGAGAGGGTGCCTGGTGGTGAGTCTGTGCAGGTCAGCCTCTGGGATGCGGGAATGTACCTGCATGCGGAGGTGGGATGTAGGCAGAAAACAACTAGCACAGAAGCCCTTTATTTCACTAGTTCAAAAATGGAAGTAGAACAATGTTTAAATTTTCAGATTTTCTCAGCATTCTCTGCCCCTTTTCCTGCTTTATTTCACTCCACAGCACCTGTCATCCTTTAATATACTTTATTACTTTATTTATTTTCTCTCTCTCACACAAGAAAGTAAGCTCTTTGAAGGCAGAATTTTGTCTGTTTTCTCCACAGCTGTGACCTCAATATATATTTGTTGAATGAATGCATAAACTAAGGATATCTAGTGAACCAGAGAAGAAATCTTTGTATCGGACTGTTTAAAAATACAAATAACTGGGCCCAGCCCCAGTGGCCTAGTGGTTAAGTTCAGTGTGCTCTGCTTCTGGGGCTGGGGTTCCATCCCTGGGCTCAAAGCTACACCACTGGTCTGTCAGTGGCCGTGCTGTGGCAGCTCACAGAGAAGAACTAGAAGGACTTACAATTAGAATATACAACCATGCACTGGGGCTTTGGGGAGAGAAAAAAAGGAGAGAGGAAGATTGGCAACAGATGTGAGCTCAGGATGAAACTTTCTCAGGAAAAAAAATAAATAAATAAAAAATACAAATAGAAATAACTGTTACAGTTATGGTATAATTATAACGTGGTTTTTCAAAGCAAAGTGCTTATACCTTAAATCATTTTCAAAAATTCTATAATATACAAAGTAAATAAAACAAAGGGACTCAAATTTATTACAAGATATAAAAATATCTCTAATAATGCACATTTACTGTATGCATTAGTAAAATGAATAGAGTGCTTTCTTATTTAAAACAAATGCCATTAATATAATGTAATGCTGAAAAGACTTGATAGAAAAATAAATAAATGCTTTATGCGAGTTAATTGTCCTTTAGAATGGCATATCTCTGGATTGAAAGTCAGGATACTTGAAAAGCTTAGAGCTGTTTACTCATGTTCTTCATTTAAGGATAAAGTTTTGAGACACTAATGGTCCCGGCATAAAGCAGGTGTGTAAAGCATGTCCAGTCCCTACTCTGTGCCAGGCACTGTAGTAGAAGCATCACGCACATAATTAGGGTAGGCTGACATTAATGGATGTGTTTCCCACTTCACCCCCCACCCCCCCCCCCAGACACTAGAATTCAACTCCTTAAGAACTGACACCTTGTCTTTCTTGTTCACCACCGTATCTCCAACTGCGGCAATAGCACTGGGCACATAGTAAATGCTCAATCAATATATGTTGAATGACTGTTTGTACTCCTTGGCAGCAAAACGTTGTTGAGGAATTTATGGGCCATTTTGTTTATATCAGAATAGCAATTGACTTTATGCGATCAAATTAGTAATAATAGAGTTAACCCAACGTATTGGACCTTAAAAATATATTAGGCAACAATCGAGGGAATCAATCGCATTGGTTACCCTATTTAACTCTTAAAAAGTAAAAGATAACTATTACTATATATCACAGTGTTGTTATTACCACGTTTTTGTAGATGTTCCTTCCACCAAACATTGGTAGATCTCTACCGTGCCCAAGGCAAGTGATGGACACGAAGATTTAACAAGAGATGGTCTTTCCCTTCAACGAGTTTATGAGCTAACAAAGAAGATCAGACATCCTCGTGTAAGAGAGACACAAGCAAAGTGCTACTGGAACAGAGGAACTTGAGTCAGCTTACCTGCTCAGGATCCACAGTTCCCCACCTGCCAGCTCTCTGTCCTTATGCACACTACTTTTCCTTGTGGCATCAGCTTCAGCAACACGCTTCCTAGGGCTCTTGTGAGAATGGCTCATCCTGCACAGGACTGCTGTGAGACTTAAACACAATAAAGTATACAATGTTTTTAGCAAAATACCAAACAGATAGCGAGGACTCACCAAATGCAGTTGTTAGTGCTGACAGCTCCTACTGAAGGATTCTTCGGTTTAATTAACTGCTATGAAGTTTGTTTTACATAAAGTTAAAAAAAGTATTTGCTGGTATTACTTCTAATAATTACAACCCATTCTTGTTTAACTCATTAGTTTTGTCAGGCAAAGAGTAACCTGCATCTGAACTTCGTGATATATGCCTCAACAAACAAGCAAATTAGTATTCACAAATTAAGATTATTGAAGACAAAGTGATTATGTGGGAATGAGCAACTTCTTAACTAACTTCTCATCTGCCAAATTTTGGGGAAAGCAGGGCTTTTATTAAAAATGGAGAATTCTTGTTGAAACCAGGAGCCTGTGTTACTCTGTGGAAGAGTTCAGCTCAATAACCTGCAGAAATGTCTATTGTGTGATCCTACTCCCCATTTACTTGCTTCTGGGACTGTTCAAGACCAGATGTCTTCCTCCACGAGGCAACTAAGCTCTGACCTGTAAAATATTGCCTTTAACCATAACGTCTGGGGCAGAAAGCCTTGTAGAGGAAATACGCAGGAATGGTATCAGAATTATCTAAAATTTGGATTGTTGATTAGTACTTGAGGGAGATTTTTCCTGGACTGCTACGGTCGACGTAGGCTTTTACTTTCACATACATAATATTTGAAGCATCAAATCGAAAGATTGGTATTTCTAATTCAAACATCACCCTGCAGACTTGTAGACTCACGAAAGAGACTTATGTGGTGCATTCCTCATTTTGATCTGTTTTCTGCTAATGAGCATTTCAAAAACAAAACCCAAAAAGTCTTAATTACTCAGTATGTAATTAAAATTCAACATCAGAAGCCTTCTGAAAGAAATTTGATAGTGAGACAACTGGCCTGGTTTTTATCCTGTACACACACACTAATTTTGTCTCTGCGTTTATCTTCACTGTAGCAAGGGGATTGGAAAATGTAAATATGTTACAACTCTAAAACTGTGAAACGACACTTTTTATCTGAAAAGTCAAAGTGATTTATTCCAGATATCATTTGACAGAAACGGTACATGGAAAAGAAGTAAAATATTATGAGAGTTTTATTACAAATATGGCTCACATATACTTTCAAAGGAGAAGAGTGGGAAAGGCAGGCATCTCTAAATGTCTTTAAGATGAACGGTAAGAGACTCGGAACTGGCGTGTCACAGCCCAGCGGAGGGATGTGTAACAGTTATAGTCTTCTAGACATATGTCACAGTTTTTAGAAACACTTTTCTCTTTGGCTATTTATTCAACATCATATTCCTATCAATAACAATGTTTTACTCCATCATCCTGTTGGAATCAGTTTAAGCACGTAGCTGAGGCATGTTGAAATTTTAAGAAGCAAAGTCAGTCTGCTTTCATGAGTTTGGGCTTTTTATTTCATGTCTGAATTTATTTTTCCTGCAAAGGGAAAATGGGTATAGCAGTACCTGGTACAGTGCCACGAACATAGTGGAGGTTTCATAAATATTTGTCACTGTGGAAGTTACGAGAAACCCTGATCTGCGCTCTGCACAGTATGTTGGATGAGGACCATAGTGCTTGCAAAAAAGCATAGACATTTGGTGCAGCATGTGAATCTCAGACAATTTTTGAAGATGATTATTTTGCAGGAGGCCCAGCTTGCTACAGAAAGGATAACATGTTACTTGTAACTATGATTAAGAAGCATTAAAATCTAGAGAACTATTTAGAAAAACAGACTCCACAGAATGCTGAAAATTCTTACTCTTTTGTATTGTGATCTGGTTGGCCTTCGCAGCAAATCCAGAAGAGAAGCCCAGATGTAGACCTGGAGGGGAGAGGGAAAGAAGCCAAGCCTGGCGGGGGCAGGGTCAGCCTGGTGGCTGTGACTATAAATCTCCTCCCCATTTCGCTTCTAAGGGGACGCACCAAACTTGAGTCCAGTCCAGCTTAGTGGTGATAGTCATCATTTCAAATACTCCAGGTTGGAGCATGGCACCAGAACTTGGTTATATGGGAAATGTTATCATCCGATGGATGACAGTTTTATGTTCAGAGGGAGAGGGGTTGTCTGTGTTAAAAGAAGCCCTTAGCCAGTGGACCACAGAGGGGAGAACATTGGGATGGGATCCAGATCCCCCAGAGAGAAGGGGCTGGCGAGACTAGTCAGCTTCCCAGGCCCAGACAATTTGGCTGGAGTTCAGGGCTGGAATCCATGACCAGTGGAGGATGAAGTGCAAATGCAGAACAGAGGCAAGGGTTGAGATAGACAGCACAGTTAGAGCTGGGACCAAGGAGCTCCATATTGGTGGCCACACAGATGTTTACACAGGCTTGCTCGACAGCAGGCTTAGGGCAAGAGATGAGTTCCAGACACTGTTTATTGATAGGAATGGAACTCCTGGCATCTTGCCAAGCTTGAGTCTCATTTGAGTAACAACCTGATGGTGTCGTGTCTATAGGCTGATGTTATGTAGTGTCTACTTCCTGGGCATGGCTATGCAAAAGGCGTTAATTTTTTATTTTAGGATAAACTTAAATAAACCCAAAACAATACTAAGACTGACCATTCACTTATATACTAGAATTTCTGCTTTCCAAAAGGATCTTTGTCTTCTTGCTCACTGAAGTATGCCAGGTACATAGCCGACACATATTTGGCATTCAACAGGCATTTGTCAAACTAAAGAAAGAATTAACCAAATATTAAGTGCTGCACAAATGACCTGAAAGCTTTTATGTGTGCCCTGAAGGAGACCTTTATCTCCCGTAGCCAGAGGGCTGAAATTGCTGGAAATCAAACTCGGAACCTTAGTCTGCAACTGGCTGAATTTCAATGCAAGTGGAACACCCACCAACCTCACAGGTGTCTACTGTTAAGGTGGAGCATTGATTGCAAAGGGATGGGATCCTGAAAGTTGGAATGGGGATATGTGGGAAGACTCTGATGATGCTGGGGACATTGAGCCCCTAAATTCTGATGAGTCTTCTTTGCCAGTGGGAGCAGCCTCTCCACCCCTATCTGAGGGGATTAACCCTACATTGCCTGAGGAAACTGGAATGGCCTCCGCTGATGTAGTTGCCATGGAAGACAATGCTTAGTCTCCTCAGGACCAACAACTACCACCCTCCTTCCTTCTAGACCTACAACTAGACTCAATTCTCAGGAGGCCCCTAAAAGTGAGGTACAAAGTGCAACCCATGAGAAGTGTGCCTCACTTTCAAAAAAGATACCCAAGGTTTCTAACTTATACAAACATAAATGCAGGGACTTATGGGTGGGAATGGGTATAAAGGTTGTGGGGTAATGGTGAGGAACATAAAATTGGATCAGGCTGGGGCTGGCCCCGTGGCCGAGTGGTTGGGTTCGCGCGCTCTGCTGCAGGCAGCCCAGTGTTTCGTTGGTTCGAATCCTGGGTGCGGACATGGCACTGCTCATCGGACCACGCTGGGGCAGCGTCCCACATGCCACAACTAGAAGAACCCACAGCGAAGAATATACAACTATGTACCGGGGGGCTTTGGGGAGAAAAAGGAAATAATAAAATCTTTAAAAAAAAAAATTGGATCAGGCTGAATTTATTAATATGGCCTCACTAAGCAGAGATTCTGCATTCAATGCTGCAGCTGCAACAGTTTGTTTGGTTGGCTGAAACATGGACAAAAAGGTGGCCCACAGTGAGTGAGCTAGAAATGCTGGAGCTGCCTTAATTTGATGCAGAGCAAGAGTCTCAAAGGCTTAGGGAGATGGGAACATTAGAGTGTACTTTTCATTTAAGACCTACTCATCCTGAAAAGGTCCAGAATACAGACCTTTCACCGTGACTGTGAGAAATAACTTTGTGAGGGGAGCCCCAGCATCCTTGAAGAGCTCTGTGATCAGTCTTCTCTCTAGGCCAGACTTTACAGTGGGGTCTCAGTCACTGAATCAGGAAACCTAAATGCAATGGGAGTAATTGGATCCTGGGGTGGCAGGGGCAAAATGATGTTGCTCAACCAAAGGCAACGTGGAAGAGGTTACCATGATGGACCACAGCATCGGAACAGCCGTCAGAATTCTGACTCTCACAGCCCTATAGCATTGGCAAGTTGATCACGGTGTTCCTAGAAGTGAGGTAAATAGGAAGTCTACTAAATTCTTACATTATCTGCATAATGTATAATGTATTTTTCATAAGCAAAAATGTTCTGAGTTAATGGAATAAGAGTCTAACCTGAATTATAAAAACAGAGAGTCATGGTCTCTCAATCATTTCCCAGATTTGAGCCAGTTTATAGACCCAGAACCCCTTGATTGAAGTGGAGGCCAGATTCTCTTGAGGAAGGACCTCAGCACACTGCCAAAAATTTATACTGTTAATCTTTCTCCCAGTCTTTCCCACAGGGACCTATGGCTCTTTACCAAGGGACTTGTACACTGGGGAAAAGGAAATAATCAGATCTTTTGGGGACTACTGGACACTGGCTCTGAACTGACATTAATTTCAGGAGACCCAAAACATCCCTGGGGTCCTTTATAGAGTAGAGGCGTATGAAGGCCAGCTTTCTTACTGAGAAAACTGAAAAGCTGATAGTTTTGAGTAGTGCCCAAAGTAAGAGAAGGCTCTGCAACATGTCCATGCTGCCATAAAAGCTGCTCTGCCACTTGGGCCATATGACCCAGCAGATCCAAGTGTGCTTGAAGTGTCAGTGGCACATAGGGGATGCTGTTTGGAGCCTTTGGCAGGAACCTGTAAGTAAATCACAGCACACGCTCTTAGGATTTTGGAACAAAGCCCTGCCATCCTCCACAGATGACTACTCTCCTTTTCAGAAACAGCTCTTGGACTTATAATGAGCCTCACTAGAGACCGAATGGTTCATCATGGGCCACCAAGCTACGAGGCGACCTGAGCTGCCCATCATGAGCTGGGTGTCATCTTAGCCGTGAAGCTGTAAAGT